CGAAATATTTTTGACACTTATGTAGTATCGTGTAAATATCTATAATATATCATATATATATCATGTATAAATCTATAAGTTCGTATGTGTATATATCAATATATCAATCTCATATCATATATGTATCATGTATATATATATATATATATATATATATCATATATATATATATATTATATATTTATATATATATATATATATATATCGTGTATATATCAATCTCGTATCAAATATATATCGTGTATATATCTATCATGTATCATTTATGTATCACGGATATATCTCATAATCAACAATTATTATTCATTTAGTAACTTTTTTACCTAAATATTCGGCCAAAATATCAACCAGTCTATCAATGGACCAGTCTTATAATAGGATGTAATACAATACAACAATGGATCAATCAAATTACCAGACAAGTAACCTAACAGTGAATCAACAAGAGCAACCAAACGAACAATCAATCAATCAACCAACCAACCAATCAATCATTCAACCATGAAAATTTCTTGCTACCAAAACGCATCTCATGGATATCATTAACCACGTCAGCATTTAGAACACACAACAACAACATACATAAATACACAACACACGCAACCACACAACATCAACGCATTAAAAAACAATTGTAAGAATATACAACAACAAACAACAACAAATAAGCAAAACAAACAAATGTAAGAATTATCTGAGCAATAAATTTAATCATGAACGAGTTGATTAAACTTAAAAGACACTTTTAGAGAACTAAAAAAAGACAATTTATACCAGAAACTAGTTTTATCACTTCAATTATAGATTTTTAAGATAAAAAGCCAAAAAAAATTTGCCTGTATATGTAATAACATACACAATGTACAGTATTCTATAAATTTTACAAAAATTTTTGCAAAAAATTTGGCAGAATTTATAGAATAGTGTTTTAAATATGGTCTCCTTCCTACATTTAAGGTGCAAGTACTGAGCACATTGACCGTAATACCATGTATGTATGTATGTATGTATGTATGTATGTATGTATGTATGTATGTATGTATGTATGTATGTATGTATGTATGTATGTATGTATGTATGTATGTATGTATGTATGTATGTATGTATGTATGTATGTATGTATGTATGTATGTATGTATGTATGTATGTATGTATGTATGTATGTATGTATGTATGTATGGTATGGTATGGTATGGTATGGTATGGTATGGTATTTATGTATGTATGTTTGTTTGTTTGTATGTATATATGTATGCATACATGTGGAACGTAATGTTTTTCTTAAAGCCTCATCGCTAAGACGAGGACGAAGGGACATTCCCACTTGATGACTAGTATAATTTTTTATAGCGGAGTAATTATTATTTTTATAAATATTTTTATTATTGTTATTTTTAATTAATGTTATTGTTATTATTAATAAATTGATTTTTATGTTAGGTATATATATATATTTATATACTTATTATTACTTCATCATTAATTTTGAGTCGTTATAAAAATTCGATAAAGTTTATTGTTGAATAAATTAGAGTTTAATGATATTGACATGTGAAGGGAATATAATTGTGTAACTATCTAGTTCATTCATTCATTCGTTCGTTCGTTCGTTCGTTCGTTCATTCATTCATTCATTCACACATTCACTCACTCATCCATTCATTCATTCATGCAAATTTAGCAGATAACAATAATAAAAACATCATTACTACAACTACTACTACTAATATTAATAATAATAATTTTAATAATAATAATAATAATATAATAATAATTTTGTTAGCAGCTAGTTATCTGACATGGAACCCAATATAAATTAAAAATATTATTATTATTTATTATTTATTATTATTATTGTTATTATTATTTATATTATTATTGTTATAGGGTTTTTGTAACGAACAATTTTAATAAAAAAACAATAAATGTCTGTTTGACGACGGTAAACATTACATTTTCCGTGTCCCTCCACTACTACTACTACTACTGCTACTGCAACTGCATCAGTTTAATTTTCCTTTGAAGTACGTTCGTACACACACACACACAGACACACACATCCACCACACACACGCACACACACACACATACATACGAAATTCAACTCTAAACTGACTCTACAAACAAGTGAGTGACATTTCTTTTTTTTTTATTAAAAAATACATATCACTCGTTTTCATATTTGATTAGTTTAGTTTCTGGATTAGTTTTTCAATATCTTGTACAGTGTTTTTATAAATGTTTCTATTGTTTCTGGATATGTATGTTTGTATGTTTGTTTATGTGAGGATGTAATTTTGTGAGTATTTGTATGTGTGTATGTGTATGTATGTGTATGATAGTGCTTGTACGTTGGTTTGCTTGTTTATGAGTATGTATGTTATGTATGTTTACGTGTGTGTACAGATGTATGGGTATTATGTATGTATGTGTGGTGTGTGTTTGTGTGAGTGTGTATGTGTGTGTGTGTGTGTACGAGTGTGTATGCTTACTGTTTTAACGGTTTTGGTTATTAAAAAAAAGTTGGATGATATATGATACACTGGCAAGAAAAAATTATTAATCACGCTGACATTAATTTTCGGATAATTTAAACTTTTGAAAAATTTGAAAATTTTTTTCATTTGTTTGTATCATTATCGTCATCACCATCATTTTGATTATCTCCATCATCATCATTACCGTCATCATTCTTTTCCCGGTTATCATTATCATAATCGCTATCCTCATCATTATCATCATCATCATCATCATCATCATCATCATCATCGTCTAACCCTTTTTCTTTATCTTTATCTTCATCTTCATTTTCTTTTTCTTCATCACTATAATCATCATTATCATCATCGCCATCCTCATCATTATCATCATCATCTTCTTTTATACGTATCCCACAATTTTTACGACTAAGCTATTAATATGCAAAAATAACTTATGTACAGCGCTCATTCATTCATTTTGTTCATTCGTTCGTTCTCCATTTTCTCATTTATCTATTCATTCGTTCAGTCATTCTTTCATTCGTTCGTTCATTCATTTTTTCGTTCATTCACTTGTTTGTTCGTTCGTTTGTCCGTTCTTCATTTATTAATTTTCTGGTTCAGTCATTCTATCAACTGTCTATCTATCTTTTGTTCGTTCACTCAATCAATTGTTTATTCATTCGTTTAATATATTAATTCTTTTATTCATTCATTCCCTCATTCAGTTCGTTTAGCCATTCATTGGTTCGTGTGTTCGTTATTTCTTACTTTCCTTAATAAACCAATGTGCGTGTGTTAGCCTGTGTGTAGAAACCTACGCTGATCCTATGGATGATGAAGAAAATAAGGATGACGACGACGACGATGATGATGGTGATGTTGTTGTTGTGGTTGTGGCTGACGACGACGACGATGACGATGATGACGATGATGATGAAAGTAATAATAGTAATGATGATGATTCCAATAGAGACATCAGAGCCATAAACTACAAAAAAGGCATTAGGTGATTGTTTATGCTACACTTGTTATATTATTAACGATAGTGATGATGATGATGACGACGACGATGGTGGAGATAATAACAATGATGATGATGATGATGATGATGATGACGACGATGATGATGACGATAATGACGATGCTGATGACTACTAGATTTGACGATGGCTATCGAAAGAAAGAGCAATATTTTCGTTTAAATTGACAAAAATAATTTCAAATTACATAATTCGATTTTAGTAGGTACAACGTTTTAAACATATTGAGTCAAATTTATATTTGATATTAGTTGTCAGTTGAAACCCATGCAATTTCATAAGTAAGCCCACCATGGCTTCAGTAAGCCACTCTGTTTTCTAAACAAAAGGTATATTATTTAAATTGACAAACAACGATAATTTTAAATTAAATAATTCGATTCAATTATATCGTTTTAAAAATATTTTAAGTCAAGTAAATTTTTTGTATTAGTTGTTTGTTTAAACCCATGCAATTTCGTAAGTAAGACAACTAACTTTATTTATTAAAATCTGCTGAAGTAATTAGTAGAAGCTTCTCGCTTGGCCTTATAAATGTGGACCCTAGAGAGACCAGCTATGGCCGTTAAATACACATACATTCTCACACACGTACAAACAAAATTTTTTAATCTGAAAAGAGTAAATGATGAATAAATGAATGAATGAATGAATTTGAATGGCGGGTACATGATAAAACTATGCGTTCCAAATTTATCTAATTTTTATCGTCAGGCATATGACTGGCTGAAGGAACGAATGAACGATTGAAAAAAAAAGAATGAATGAATGAATGAACAAACAAATGTATGTATTACGTATGTTTGAATGAATGCAGGAATGAATGGATAGACAAATGATGGAAAGATGGTGACTTCTCGGATGACTGAACGCTCATTTTCAAGATTTTAATGACGACGATCATTCATTTGAAGAAATTTCATTCATTAATTCACTCACTCAGCCATTCATCTATCCATATTTTCTTGATTTATTCATTCATTCAATTTAGTTAATCGATTGCATAATTCATTAACTAATTCAATCAATCATTCATTCGTTCACCCGTTCATTCATGTATCTATTTTTTCATTCAATCATGATGTTGATGATGACGTTAACGATGACGTTGTTTGATGATGATGATGATGATGATGATGATGATGATGATGATGATGATGATGATGATGATGAAGACTTCCAACCCACTTTTCTCCACTCCAACTGTACGTAATTATTCTTCAGTTCTGTGTGATTGATGAATAGAAATGATGATGATGACGATGGTGATGATGATGACGTTGATGATGATGAAGAAGAAAATGATGATGATAAAAACCTCATTCATCCTGCAATTTCTTTCTCCTATTATATCAGAAGTAGATGATGGATGGATGGATGGATGGATGGATGGATGGATGGATGGATGGATGGATGGATGGATGGATGGATGGATAGATGGATGGATATTGGTGGATAGATGAATGGAGGAGAGGTAGATAATGATGATGATTGAGAAGACAGTGATTGTTATTATTGATGATGCAATGATGATAATGATGCTGGCGGTGATGACAACGACGACGTCAATTAATGCAAAAAAAGCAGCAGTAGTAGAAGCGGCAGTAGTGGCAGCTGTAGTAGTAGTAGAAGCCGTAGTAGTAGTAGTAGTAGTAGTAGTAGTAGTAGTAGTAGTAGTAGTTAAATGTTTTTACGATCTTTGGTTATTTATTGGCACCTTGGAATTCCCCAACTGCCCAGAGTTTCGATTTTGGCTCGCGAAGCGTATCGTGATAGGAATACGTTAGAGCGGGAAGAAAAATTAATTTTTTTCATTTTATTCTTCTTCATTTATTCATTCATTCAATTCTTCATTCATTTATTCATTCATTCGTTCGTTCGTTCGTTCGTTCGTTCGTTCGTTCGTTCATTCATTCATTCATTCTTCATTCATTCATTCATTCTTCATTCATTCATTCATTCATTCATTCATCCATCCATCTATCAATCCATACGTTCATTCATCCACTCATCCATCAACCCATCTGTAAGCAATCTTTTTCCAAACAAATATTTTTTTTTCTTCACATCGCATATATATTTTATAATATATTATTATATAATTTATTAATTTATATTTATATAAATATATATTATTATAATCATATAATTTATTAATTTATTAATAATATATTTATTTTATAAAACTTCCACATGACGGCTTGAGCCGAGAACAATTCAGTACATGTCAGAAAATGTATGGATGAACATTTTTTTGGACAAACACGCATACACTTCACGCACACATGCACACACACATACACACACTTCACGCACGCACACGCACACACACTGATACACACGTGAGCATACACACACACACACAAACACATACAAACACAAACACACCTATTTACACACAAAAAAAACTACACACACACAAACACATACAAACACAAACACACCTACTTACACACAAAAAAAACTACACACGTACGTACATACATACACGCATATACACTTATTTATTATTATTGTTATTATTATTATTATTGTTGTTGTTATTATAATCATCATCATAACCTTTTGTCATCTCAATCATTATAACGAAGTTTGCATTGGTTTTTAGCGATCAAATGAAATCCATTCGGTGTCTTTTTTCTTTTTTGTTGTTTTTCTTTGTATGTTTTGTTTGTATGTTTTGTTGCATGTTTTTTTGTTTGTATGCTTTTGTTTATACATTTGGTTTGTTATTCGTTTGTATGTTTTGCTATATATATACATATATATATGTTTTGTTGTTGCTTGTTTGAATAACTTTGTTAAGTTTTTTTTATTGTATGTTGCTGTTTGTATGTTTTCGTTGATGTATGATGAAGTTTATTTGTATGTATTCGTTGATGTATATTGAAGTTTGTTTGTATGTATTTGTTGATGTACGTTAAAGTTTGTTTGTATGTTTTTGTTGATGTATGTTAAAGTTTATTTGAATGTTTTTTCAAATTAATACATTAGCGTCACAACACGTGTTTGTGTGAAGAGCACGAATTTTGTACGTAGTCATGGTACATTCAGTTGAAAGAGAGGAATTTTAGCGTTATAGAAATCTGATTCTCGATGATGATGCTACTCATGATGATGATGACGACGACGACAAAGACAATAAATCGACCATGACGATAATGATGACGCCGTGAGAGACGATGATAATGATGGTGTTGATGACGATGATAATGATGACGAAAAAAATATGACATCATTGATGATAATGATAATCCGACAAACTGCAAAAATATTTTTATTAACCGAGTATCACCTGTTTTTTTGGCAGAGAAAGATCACGTCTGTCCGGTAAGTTACGTCATTATGGCAGGTCACGTGATCATTTTGTTGTTGTTTTTGTCGACATTGGTAGCGTGTTGCGTTACTCAACAACAACAACAACAAATCCAGCAACAAATATTCTTTCAAACTAAAGCTCAACAATATAATTCGACAAAATATCAACAACTACAACAACAACAACAACAACAGCAGAATCAACATCACTATCAACAACAACGAATGCAACATCTTTTAAAAAATGATGAATATTTAATAGAAAAATCTCCAAATACGGATTCATCATCGTCGCCGTCATCATCATCTTCAACAACAACAACAGCAACAACATCATCACCAACAACAACATCTTCATCATCTTTATCATCATTTTTACAATTGCCATCAATCTCAAGGTTGTCAAAAACTACCGCAATTTTGGATTCAATAAAAATTTCATCAGCCTGGTCGACAACAGCCCCGACAATTTATCAAAAGTTAATAACAAAACCATCACCATCATTATCCAAAATAACATCCTCATCATCATCATCTTCCTCATCATTTTTTTTATCATCATCAACAAAAACAACAACGACGACGACATCATCATCAGCAGCAGCAACAACAACAACATCAAAACTTAAAAGTGGATTTCCATCGCGTTCAAATTTTATCCCCTGCTTCAGCGAAGAGCGAATGGAGAAAATAAAATTTTCCGCGAAAGCACCTGATACTTCTTCTATTACTACTACAACAACAACTACTACTACTATTACTGCGGCTACTACTATTATTACTGCTGCTACTACTACTACTATTACTACAACTGCTACTGCTACTGCTGCAACTACTACTAGTACTGTTATTGTTTTTACTACTTCTTCGATTTTAATAGTTACTAGAGCAACAACTACTACTACTATTAGTACTTCTACAATAACTACAATAACTACGACTACTACTACTACTACTACTACTACTGACGCCACTTCTCCTACTACTACTACTACTACTATTACTACTACTACTACTACTACTACTACTACTACTACTACTACTACTACTACTGCTACTACTGCTACTACTACTACTACTATTACTACTACTACTACTACTACTATGGCAACGTTAATGGCGCTAGAACAAATAAACCCAACATCAAAAACCTTCGAGAAGGAATCGTTTAGAAAGAGGAAGAAGATGACGATGAGTAGAGAGAGGATGATGGGATATGACGTCACGTATGCGTCATCACCTCGCCAATATAAAATGATGTCGGCGGCTACTACATCTTTACAACCATCGTCTTTGAAGCTGTCATGGTCATCATCATCATCAACGTCGTTACTTCTACCATCGATTACAGAATCATTATCATCATCGAAGTCGTTATTTTTATCATCATCATCACCACCGTTATCATTATCATCAACATCGCAACCATCATTTTTATCATCGTCATCATCATCATCATCGTCACCATCATCATCAGAGATATTCCCGCCAATAGCGAAACGTTCTTTGAGGAATGACGTCAGCCAAATTGTGTTGACGTTGAACACAAGTTTGTTGGAGCGTTTGCTGAAAAATGAAAATTCTTCCCAGATGTCGCCAAATATTTTTCAACAACAGCAACAACAACAACAACAGCAACAACAACATCAACAGCAACAACAACAACAACATCAGCAGCAACAACAACATCAACAACAACAACAACAACAGCAACAACAACAACAACAACAACATCAACAGCAACAGCAACAGATGCAGGAGCAATATGAAAAACATCAGCAGGCCATCTCACAGCGACAGCAGCAACAACAGCAGCCACAACAACAGCAACAACAATCAAAGCCACACAAATCCCAGCAGCAATTTAAGTTAAATTTGCATCAATTACAGCAGCAGCTGCAGCAGCAACGTCAGCCACAACAACCACAAAATGCACGAGCCGACCAGCTGCAAAACATCGACAGAACGACAAATGAAATTTATTCCAAAGAAAATCCAATTATTAAAAGCAGCCACGTGAATAGTAACACTGCCAACAACGCCAACATTGCCAACAACAACAACAACATCAAAAACAACAACACCAACACCAACAACACCAACAACAATAATAACGTTATCAACAGCGAAATTATTGGCAACAAAAACCATCACACTAGAATAACCATCACCAACAACAAAACTGACATCAAGCTTTCCAACAATGAAAGCATCAGCGATGACAATAACATTAACAACAGCAATGACGTCCTAAACGACATTGGAAACAATGAAAACAACAACAATAATACAAACCAAAATAAATCTTTTTGTGGCACATTTTCTGTCAATAAAATAAAGCACACCACTCAGCATACTCAGAGCGTAAATCAAGAAAAATATCAACGACAACCTAAACAACAACCTGAACAACAACAACAACAACAACGTCATCAACTACAACAACAACTACAACAGTATCAACCACAACAACAACCTGAACAACAACAACATCAGCAACAAAAGCAAAACAATAGCGACAAAATATTGACCTACAAAAGCGAGCCTAAGAGCGTTAACATGAAAAACTCCAAAAACAACTACACCGAATTATCGATATTAGTTCATAAATCACTTAACGACAACAACGACAACAACAACGACAACAACAACGACAACAACAACGACAACAACAACAGCAACAACAACAATGCCCAGCCAACCATCATAGCTGTTTTATCTTCATTCGGAGCGGCCATTTTTCTCGTAATTTTTTGCATTTCCGGTTTCGTCATCGCCGATGTCATGAGTACTTCACGAAGGCGCGCCCTCAGGTCCAAAGTGTCACCGTTGTTGCTTGGTAGTTCAGAATGGTGACGTCATATTATATATATATATATATATATATATATATATATATATATATGCGTGTGTGTGTGTATGTATGTGTGTGTGTTTAGTTCAGTTCCAACAATTGTTATGCGAGTTAACAAACACATGGACGAAGGAATAACTGAGAAAAATTTTTTTTTTGTATGAGTTTATCGATGTGATTTTCGCGGACGCTGTTACCTTAGTAACTTTACCTCATTTAAATTTTCAAATTATAAATTTTAATGAACATTAATTAATTGATTGAGTAATTAATTAAATGTGTTTAATCAACGCTGTTATAATTAGCTTAGCTTGGCAAGACTAAGAAGGAACAAAGTGACAAAAATAAAGTTCGACTTCTGTTGTTTTAGGATTTAAATAAATGAAATAAAATTTGCGACAAACGTCGAAAAGTTTTCAAATTTTATTCTTTTTTAAACCAAAAATTATTTAAATTCTCAAATCAATCAATCGATCAATCAGTCGTTAAATCAATCAATCAATCAATCATTTTAATCCATTTAATCTACCAAATAATTATTGAGCAGAAATTTTTCCCGCCAAACTCTACTTTATAATCTTTTCCATAGCCACAATGCCGTTAAAAATTTCCTTAAACGAAAGCGGTATCTCACGAGAGGGAACGACGAACGATCTTCCCCTCAGCTCCGGACAGATGGAATACTTGATGCTAATGTCCTTGGCGAAGTCATCCGTGCTACCGGAAGTGGGGTCTGGGGTCGGATTAGTGAATGAGTGAAATTAGTGATTTAGTAATTTAGTGAATTAGTGAAAAGATTGGGAAATGTACTTTTTTTTATTGTTTTATGAGTTAATGTGCATACATATAGTAACTAATAAACATTAATTAGGATCAATTATTTTGCGTTAATTACACACTCACACACATATATTATTTAAACTATTAGCAATAAGGTTCATTATAAATCCTTAAGAAAGAACTTAAGCATTGCTAAACATACTTACGTTGGGAACGTGTTAAACAAAACTTTAAAAATTAAGTGAAACTGAAATTTAGGCAGACACTATTTGAAAATTGAATAACTCAACTTGAAGCAATACACAAACTATGAAAAAAATACATACAGATAACTTCACAAGCGTTCCCTCGCGTCCATTTTGTCGAATGAGTTGCCTCTGTGGCCACTGCCATTGCTTCTACTGCTTTCATCTGAGAGTTGTGGTCGGCATGGTTGAAAATAATAATCACTCAGACTACAGATTTTAAATTGTTTCGATTTTTAAAAAAATTTCTAGTTTAAAATGGTAAAGATAATAGAGATAAAAAAATGATGACAATTAAAAATTTCAAAGAATAATTCCCAAAATGGTGTTCGGACCACTTCGTCATGGTCCTTCGATCTCAAACATTTCTTATTCTTATCGAGGTTTCCGAAGGGTATCAAATACATGTTGCCATATGAATGCATCGTATAGGCCACTAGAGTTCGAGGAGCTAAACGTCTCAATTCGGCAGAGACTGCTCTAACTTCGGCTTCTGAACCGGCAGACGGTCCTCTGTATGTTTCGCTGCATTCCAGGTTTGATACGCCGTCGGCTGGTTTTTTGGTGGTTTGTTGTTTATTTGTTTGTTTGTGTTTGTTTGTCTTTCTTGTTTATATTACAATATGTTTATGGTGTTGTATTGTTTGCCATCTAATAAATGTTGAAAACATAGGCTGGTAATAATATTTATGAAAAAAATTATTTTCAATAAAGTCGCATGTCAGAGTTGGCTATATTTTTGCTTTTTTCACATATTTTATCTATTTTTTCTTATAAAACCACTGTTTTAATTACAAAAATTAACAAAAGGTTACAATATTCAGTCGAAATTGATATAGGACTTTATATAGGCATTTTCCATTGGGGGCACTTATCCACTTCTAAACTCTCACTCACATATTTTATCGTGGGGGCTAGCCCTAGAGACCCCCTTGGCTACACCCCTGATGACGATATACTTATCATTACTAACTTCCCCAATTAGTGGAGTTGAAGTTCCTGTTGAGGTCGACACCGTAGCAAGTTTTAAACTGATGTCTGTTCTTCCTCCACATTCGATCCTAGGCAATGTCAATTAATCAATTAATTAACCAGTTAATTAATTAATTTAAATAAGTAGATTTTAAATTCCTAATTAATTAATATCCTAATGAATGTTTAATTGATCATTTGGTCCAATTTCATTTTCCTGGCTGAACATTCGTAGTAAAATTTTGAAGTTAATTCGTCATAGTTTGACATTTATTAATTATTTTAATTGAATAGATTTTTTTTAAATTAAAAATTTTTCTACTTGCTACCTTCTCCCACGTGTAGCGGTAGCCGTCCGGATTAACAACCGGCACGAAGTACCAATCGTACTTGTCAATCAAATTCTGGGCGTCCTTGTCACCCACAGTCACTAACTAGTTAGGGAAAAATAAAATTGAAATATTAAAGTTAAATTATATAAGATTCAACAAAAACGTAAGTAATCATCATAGAGTGAATGAATGAATAAATGTGTGAATGAATGAATGAATGAATGAACGAACGAACGAATAAATGAATGAATAAATGAATGAAAGAATGAATGAACGAACGAACGAACGAACGAACGAACGAATTAAAATAAAAACAATAAAAATGTACATGGTTGATGATGTTGGTGATGGTTGCCGTTGAGATCCACTCCCTAGCGTGAGTCGTGGCATCCAAGTACCAGGACTTTCTTCCAGGGCTTTCCTTCGTTATCTTTCAAATTATTACAACAACAACAATAATAATTATATTAATTATAATAATAATAATTACACACACTCACACACGCACGCACGCACACATACACATTGCGTATATTAATTAACATTCGAGTGAATCATCCACGTATCACACGCATTTTGCACTTTGAATTTGAAACCGGCAACTGCAACAGCCCGACCGAACGCCTTAGCCACTACACCACCAAACCATCTCGCCGACTAATATTACTAATAAATCAATCGAAATTTCATACTTTGAAAGCCTTGATTGGAGTTCCGAGGTGTGAATGTCCAATGCTGTAAACCTGGCAAGCAAATGACTTTGGACATTTAGCTACCAAGCTATCCATCCAGGTGTATAACTGCGTGAGAAAATAAAAATTTCGTAATTAATAATTTAAAAACTTTTTATCATTTTTATTTTATTATTTCTATTATTTCAGTGGGACAGCCGGTGAAGAAAAATAATTCTCGTGGGGACCAGCTACTCTTAACTAGATTTGTCGAAATTTAAAATGAAAATAAATAACTTGGTGAACGTACGTCGTCTAAACTGTGGTAGTTGTTGAGATCGAACTCGTACTGCGACGCACTCTTCAGCCTCTCTATCTCTTCCCGCTCGTTATCGATTGATCTTTCAGATTTTTCAAATCATAAAATATAATTAAATAATTAATAACTTAATATGAATAAAAATAAATTATTCCTGATAATAGTGGTATTAGTAGTAGTAGTAATAGTAGTAGTGTAGCATTAATAAAAATAAGAGTAGTAATAGTAGTAGTAGTAGTGGGAATAATAATAGTAACAAAACAGAAGTAGTAGAAGTAGTATTAGTAAAAGTAGCAGTAGCAAATAGTATTAGTAATAGTAGTAGCAGCTGTTGTAGCAGTATTAGCAGCAGCAGCAGCAGTGGCAAAATTTAAGTACTGCATGTCAATTAAAGCATTATTAGTAAAAGTGCGGTAGATACTTGTAGTACAAAGTAGGAAGTAATAATGATAAGTACTGTTAAAAATACGTCATAATGTATGCAATGAAATTTGTTGCTGCTAACAACTGTAGATCGTCATCCGATACGTAGAAGAAGAGGTTACGCTTCGTCAGGAGTTTGAGAATATTTTCATAATTTTCTGGATCCACGGAAAACGTGCTCATGTCGGAAGCACTTGGCTCTTTCCAGAAGTTAATCTGACATTTGAATGGTCAGTCAATCAGTTATTCAACCAATCAATCAACAAATCAATTAATTAATGAACTAATCAATCAATCAACCAACCAATCAGCCAATCAATCAACCAACCAATTGGTCGGTTGGTCTAGCCTATCAATCAATCGGTCAGCTAACCGAACTAGCTGCTTATAGATCTCTCAATCAAGAAACAAAATCAAGCAATCATTGTCAATCAATCGATTGATATTTCAATCAATCATTCGATTGACAACTAAAAATATATCAAACAACATCTTCATAAAATTTAAAATATTAGGTAAAAACTTATCCCAAAAAAACTATTCAAAGCCATGAGACCTCCAATCTCGAGTTCATTAGTTGCCTCAAGTAGATGACGTCATCTTCGGTCGGCGTCAGCACCTGGATCACCTTGTACCTTTAGGAAAGAATTGCTTTTACTTTTTAAAACGTTTAACATATTTTTCAATTATTTAAATTAAATTTTAACGTAATTTAAGTGCGTAATTAAGAATTTCTAGGCTGGAGACTTCTTGAACATAACGTTATAAATTTAAAATTTATTTTTGAAATTTTTGCGTCACTACTGATTGTGACCGCCAGATAGATGTGTTACTCAAGAATATCTCGATGAAATACAAATATAACAAAATTGTTCGGCTAACCCTGCATAACTTTTTCTTTCCTCTGATGCATAAACTTGAATCAGCACGAACAAACACGCGACGAACTTCAGAAACTCCATCACGAAAGTTTAATTGTTACATTTGAAATAAGCAGACTTATATAGAAAAATCGCTGTCTAGGTTATATAACGCTGGTAAGAAGTAGTTTGTTTTTTTACTGATAAAAGATACTTAGTGGCAATTCTAAGAGTGTTTTTGAAATAATCTGAAGTGCTTGGCATTGTTGAAGATTGTGATTTTTATTTGAATAAATAATTTTGATTTTATAATTCGATCAAAATACAACAATGCTATTGTTGTATTACAAATAATCTCAGAAAGCACAATGAAATTTTTATCATAAGTGATAGATAACTCAACGACAAGTAATTTGAGAGAAAGTAAATGAATGAATGAATGAATGAATGAATGAATGGATGAATGAATGAATGTATTAATGAATGAACGAATGAATGAAATTATCAAAATACTAAATACAAGACGATAATAACAAACAATCTAGGTGTAATGTAGAATGTTACGTGATGATAGATAGATAGATAGATAGATAGATGATAGATGATAGATAGATAGATAGATAGATAGATAGATAGATAGATAGATAGATAGATAGATAGATAGATAGATAGATAGATAGATAGATAGATAGATAGATAGATAGATAGATAGATAGATAGATAGATAGATAGATAGATAGATAGATAGATAGATAGATAGATAGATAGATAGATAGATAGATAGATATAGATCACTCCAAATATCCAATTATCTCAAATCACTTCCAATAAACAACAACATCTGGATTATTTTCCACTCTCTCATCGAGTTCCTGGAAGGCGAGATTGAACCTACCGCATATTTCGTCGTATGAATTTGACCCATTCATGCACTCCTCCATTGCGTCCGATCTTTTGTCCTCCATATTCTGGTCGTCAACCAATTTCAGAGGATATTTTTGCAGCCTTCTAACTAAACCTTCAACCAAGCCAAACTGAATCAATTTTCTGCGTGAAAAGAAATCAAGCTTGTATAAATTTGACTGGATTTTTAGTACCAACTAATTTAATTTGCGAAATTTAGTGACATATTATCGCCTCAAAATTATTTTTTCACAAATAATTAATCAAATAAATGTATCGTCACGGCATAGGACAACATTCTAAAATAGGCCTATATGTGATGCGGTCTTACTACATACCGTGCAATAAACAATGATAAGAATTTGTTTCGGCGTGATCATACTATTAAAAAAACTGATATTCATCTAATTGCAAACTAATAAAGCCAAATAAAAAAAAATGAAAAAAACAAAGAAATAGAACGGCAAAAAAAGACATTGACTTTTCATCGATATTTTTACTTCTTGGGTTCAGCCTGAGACAAGCGTCCTTCAGTCTCGAAGTTGGACCCATGGACGTGTAAAATATGAAAATATCGTTGAAAGTCGCTCGCTTGTCTATCAAAAATTTGTAATGTTATTCATTTTCACACTTTTGTTCTTATAACGCGGCTCTGACATGAACAGAATGACTTATGTATCATTATATCATTCTTATAATTAAACTGTCGTGTGTCACAAAGGCTGTAGCATGCCGATACACACACCACACATACACGCACACCAAAGGCTGTAGCATGCCGATACACACGCACACACACACACACACACACACACACACGACACTACCTACATACACATTTTGCAAGCACCGCTTCATACACACACGGCGTATGGATGACAGTTATTGAGTTATGGAAGAGACAGTATTCGAACTAGGCCATCACACCATAACAACACAAGACTTGGCACCTCTACTGACAATTTCAACACAAATTATATTACCCTCAAATGATAATAATAATAAAAATAATAATAATAATAATTATAATTATTATTATTATACCAATCGACCGTACTTGTGATGGATGAGTGTCGAATGCACCTCTCTTGGAACGATGCGTCGTTGTAAAGCTCGTGTATTTTCGGCGTCACAACGTAGGTATTCGAATACTGGAAGGACAGTGAAGTTGAGATGAATAATAATAATAATAATAATAACAATAATAATAAAAATGATAATAATAATGGGAGCATTCTTCTATTGACAGAAAAGATAAAATCAAATGAAATCAATCGAAAATTATTAATCACATTATCAGAATGTAAATAAGATGAGATGTAAAATATAATGTACGATCCTCTCATGCTCTCTGATCAACAAGTGCTTGAGAGTAAAAAAATATATTTAAAATCGGTTAAGTAGTGTTTCTGTCACAATGTATGCTATATGACGAGCGAATTACCACGTTAATCAATTTTTCATTAAAAGATTTCGGCCATAATATTTTAAACAAAGTTAGATTAAAATCGTGAATAATAATAATAACAATAATAATAACAATAACAATAATAACAGTAATAATAAAAAATTACATACCTGGAACAAAGGGACTAGTAACAGAGCACCATGGTATCTGAGATATTTAAAAAAAATGATAAAACAACAAATAATAATAATAACAACAACAAAAATAATTATAATAATAATAAAAACAACAATAATAATAATTATTATATAAAAATTATGAAAGGTAAAAAGAATTATTTACACGAGTTTTTTTATGCAATCTTTAACGATGTCAACGCTAATATCTGCCTCGTGCCCAATCCTCGTAACGGACCATTCTCCATTTATTAGTGGTATAATCTTTAAAAATCATGATCATAACTATCATAATTATTGATTATATTATAATTACATTTAAACCGAAACAAGCCACAAGACGACAAAATAATTTTATTTAGAATGTTTCAAAAAGAGAAGAAAGATAATATGAAAACTATAATCTGTGAAAAAGTAGCCAAAAGATGATAGAAAAATTTGAATAACTAAAATGATAAATTATATAGGATATACGTGATATACACGATATGTGATACAAATGATATGCAATAATAGATTATAAAAATTGTTACATAATAAAAAACTGTTGATCACATTTTTCTGCCATCAAGATATATGTTACACAATACATGAATTGCCTGATATATGTTTTACATGATATATGATACACGTGATATACAAACGGTATGAATGATATACAATAACAGATTATAGAAAGAATTAAACACAAAAAACTGTTGGTCAAACTTTTTTGGCAACGAGGTCGGCATGGGCAAGAAGGCAAGATTGTAGAAGGCTCGGCGAGGAGGAACACCTGAAAACAGGAACGTCGTAATTGTTGACCACGACCTTCTCATCTGTAACTGCATCTATTTGTAGGTGCAAGGTGCTGGAGTTTGCTGGAATTTGTGGAAAAAGAGTATTAGTAACAAATTGACATCTATCTGAAAATTGCAAAAAAAAATTTAGGTTAGTTTTTTTTCTCAATTTAATTAATGAGATTTCTATAATTTTCAAAATTAATACATTGTAGATGTACTTAATAAATGAATAAAAAATATAAATAATAAAATACTGAAAAAATGACTAAAAATAACTAAGAAAGATTATTTAATTCTATTTACCTTTGCCGATGTAATTACAACGTCCGTATTTGTTCAAATCATTGAAGACTGTGGTCAGAAGCTTTGTTATATTCTCTTTGTTCTTTTCGTTCAACAAAAATCCATGGAAGGTTTCATGCTAGAAAGAGAAAAAGATAATTTTGTGATACTTTTGAAATCATATTTTATTAAATAAATAAAAATGTTCAACCAACCATAAGTTCAGTTAATTACAAAATTGAACAATTAATCAATCAGACGATCATTAATTCACCAACTTCTAGGTATAAGTTCACTTTTCTGACAACATTCTCATAATTATTTCCATCAGAGTGCGAATTGAGAACGAAGCAGCAGTTGAAACGAATCTCGTTCCTCTCAAACTGCTCACCCTCCACTAAGATTGGATAGCCTATAATCATGTGACCCTGGGAGTGTCTTCAAAATTACATTAAAGCATTTAAATATAACATAATATACATAATATATATAAATATATACATTATAATATAATGTAAACATATTATATATAGATTATACAATATAGGACTATACTATAAAAAAGAGAGAAATTCTCATCCTATAGTAATGTTTATAGTCACTATAGGATGAGAATTTCTCTGTTTTTTTTCTCTTTCTCTCTAATTATATATATTATACTTTAAGAAAGAAGGAAAAATAAATAATATTAATTAACATAATAATTTAATATTTTTATTTAATACAATTATTTAATAATAATTTACTAACAATCTGATGACTCTCCGATAGAGTTGTTTCTTGGGGATGACGTACTTGTGCAAATGACTCAAAAAAGTTTCTTTGGTAATGATTTCCTCTGGAACTTGAAGAACTATTTTTGGACCTTCAGTCAGATGGAACATACTGAAAAAAATACTTTCAATCTTTCCAGAACTGGCAACAACGCTGGCCATTGTTTATTTAACTTTTTGCAGTTTTTGTTTGAAATATTGCAAAAATAATCGTTAATAGTGACAAAGTAAAAACATTTGCTCCATTAATTGAGGCAATTTAATGGAATTTTAAAAGCAACTTGCGAAAAGTGAACTTTGCGAAAAGTGAATTTAAGTCAATTAGTAGGAATGAGGCAAAAACCAACTCAATCAGTATTTCAAATCATTTAGCTATTTCAACCAGATTTAACACTTTTTTTGAAATATTTAAAACTTTCCACAACAAAATTTTAACTAATTCTTGCAAACTGTAAATACAACTATTTTTTACGAGTTTTACTTGCGCGAAGTTTATTTTAGCGATCACGCAAATCAATCACTCCGCATATACGTGTCTGAACTGTACAACTACTAAAGCAACAAGAGAAAAATGTCAAAATTAGACATATTTTATTTATAAAAAAACATACAAACGTATAATTATACATGCATAAACATGCAAACATATACATATACATAAATATATATATATTGTATATATTTAACAGGGTCGATACTATTCGTGTTTGAATAGTCTTCATCATCTTCCATTACAGCACTGATGATGAAGTCTGGTTGAATTTATACTTTTCAAGATCTTCATGAAACTTTGCAACCTGGATGTAAAGAAAAAGTTTAATACAAATTTTCAGAAAAATATTAGCAATTGAATATATACATTTATGAAAATATTAACGCTTAAATATGAATAAAGATAGCCTAACTTCAAATGAGTCTCAATTGAACAATAAGAAAAATTTTCAAATAATTGAGACTGATCAAATTATACATGCTAAAAACATATCTCAAACACATAAAATCAATTCCTAAATCTTCTTACTATTTAAAAATAAATTTTAAAAAGTTAACAAAAAAGATAAATATCTTCTTACTATCTTGTTGACATGAGTCAGGGCTTCTGATTGGCTATCACTGTCCTTGACTTTGAAGCAGCAGTCGGGTTTGTAGGGTGGTTTGATGACTATTTTGTTCCACACTATGATGTCATCGCCTGACCATCTGACCTCTTCGATTCTGAGAGATTGTTTGAAAATATGAATAGTTATTACAATAAAATTTAAATAATATTTGTTATAATTCTATGTTCAATATAATTGAATTGAAATTGAAAAAAGACAGATTGTAGATCATAAAAATTAAATAAAAGACAATGACACATAGTTAGATGAAGATATAAAAAACCCCAAAAAATAAATAAAAAATTGCATATAGGTAAAAATTTTATAAAAAAAAAATTAAAGCCACCAACGTTTTACTGATTGTGGATATTAGACTCTGGGCTAGAATACTCGATCCTGGCTTGATGAAATCGGCCCTCTTCATTTTCTCTTCCCCATTCATCTGTACCCGTGCATCCAACTAACGAGAGAATTTATTTTTGGTAATAGTTTAAAAATTAGATATAAAAATAATAATATAAATCAATAAAAATAATAAATTGATAAATATAGATAAGTAATAAATAAAAATGTTATTAAAATGAAAATAATTTTATACTTTATTTGATGAGACATTAGGAAATGTGCTGTTCAAGTTCTCCATTGTGGCCTCTTTCACTAACTCAATTTTGGTTTGAAATGACAGATTTACAAGAGTAAAGTTGAACAAGTTTGGTTTCTTGTTGCTTGCAGGCATTTCTGAAACAAAATCAAAATAATTATTAAATCATTAGTTATTAAAAAATGGCTTCTAAAGAAATAAGCTTTATTTTTTATAACAATAAAATAAAAATGTGATAAATCTCTAATTAGCAGTAAATACTGTCGCTGAAGTGTAGAAAAATTGCTAAAGAAACAGCAAATGTTTGTTTATGTATGTAAATTAAATGAATTTTTAGCAAGTGTATATATAGCTCACTTGTAATTTTCAGAGAACCTTACATGTACATAATTCACTAGTCGTCTCTACTAATACTCTTTTAATAATTTTAAATTTTATTTTAATTCTTTGATAATGGAACTCATAAAGGAAAGGACTTGTTTTGAGACTGTACAATTTGCGACAATTACCACCGACCAAGCAAAAATTAATATGTTGCGGTATTTACCGTGAATTTAGTAATTTTATGTGTAAAAATGACAATACTAACAAGACTACAATTTATTAATTTTATTTGCTATCATTTTGCAAACAAAAGGATATAGAATAGACATAACTATGCATAACACGAAAGCAAAACAAACAAACAAACAAAAAGAACTAACTCAGAACGACACACTTCATGACAGCTTCATCGTAGGCCACGACCTCCCCTTGAAATTGGGTGCCTAGAAAATCCGTGCACCGAACGATCGATCCTATCTTGGACGCCAGCTTACTCGGCTCTAGTATTTCATACGCCATTTTATTAAATTTGATGAGTATTTTAGCCTATCGTACCATACAATACCTCACTCAAACGTTCAATTCCAGATCGCTAACAACAAAAAATAAATGAATTAATTCACCGAAAGAATAAATTAAAGAAACCATGTGATTCGAATTAACTTTTAGTTGAAGTACTGGCCGCATTACTATATATATATGTTAAATGTTATATATATGTTAAAGCTAATAAAATAATTATCAAACATAGTATAAATATTTTGTCTATAATTAAAATAATCTTATTTATTTAATTTAATTCTCAATGTTTCTACATTTTTTAATAAGTTTTTGACATTTTTTAAACTTAAAGTATGACCATTACAAAGTTAAAGATCAGAGTTGAACTATAGTTATAAACTTCGAACGTTGACCAAAAAAAATTTACACCACTCTATTTAATTTTTATTCTAATTGTATTTTTATTAACTAAAAATTAAAAGCTCCTTACATAAATTGTAACAAATACATGGCATCAACCCTGTCCAGTGGATGTTTCCGTAGAATGTGTATCAGAGACCACGTTAGGGCTATTATTTCTTCCATGGATATATATAATATCCATGATCCCTTCACTAAAATGACCTCATAATGACCAAACGATCCCCGCATATGTAGAATGTATAGATAGATCGTACAACCATGCAATGACTTGTTATATAGTGTAATAAATTGCCAGGAAATAAGCTGAGGAACGCACCCACCCATGCTGACAACATGGCGTATTTTAAATCTCGAAAGTTAAATATGAAGAAATACAATTAAATACAACACAGTACAATAAAATGCTATACTGTACAGAGTATTAGGTATTGTTAGAATGTTGTCGTTGTTGGAGCTATTTTTTAGAAAGCTGACATTTTATTTCATTTAAACAATTTAAAAAAAAAAATTTACTCGTTGCAGTTTGGACGCATCTGATCAGTCAATAAGGCAAGTTTAAAAACCTATAACACAAACAATTCTCTTCCAGTCTATCTATATATAGGACTGCATGTTCAATAGAACGTTAGTTTCAGTCAGCTATTAAGTAGAGAAATGTTTATTTAAAAGAAGAAACTTCAAATTAAAAGATTATTACTATTATTATTGTTGTTGTTATTATTATTTGAAAATTTTCCATTCGTATTAGTAAATTCTAGAATGAAACCAAATGGTAGTTTCTCGAACTATTTCTCGATAAAATTAGATCTACAAAGCATTGGATGAGAAAGCGTTATGTCATTGCTACAAGCAACAATGCACCTGCTCACTTCTTTTGACAATTTATTCACATTTTTTATTTTAAAAGTCATAATTGCCATCATATGTGTGTGTGTTGTGTGTGTGTGTGTTTTTTTGTGTGCTCAATAAATTTGTTTCGTAAATGTTAACTTTCATTACATATTTTTGATGCTAGTCAAAATCGTTGATCCTATTATTTTGACCAGACTACCACAAATTTGGTAAGTTTCTTGAACGTCGAATTATAAAATCAAATCATCTTCAAAATTTTGGTCCCCCGTCTAATTTGTCTAGACCAGCTCCTGTCGCTGTAGCAATATATACCTACGTTTTTATTCTTTCATTTTACATTCATTTTATTCTAAATTTTATTCATTCTTTTAACAATTCAATTCTGTATCAGATAGAAAAAATAATTACAAAATGATAATTTTTACAAGAATATTCAGAGAATAAAATTTTTCATGACTCATCTTATGTAGAAGTAGAAAAGTTGACAGCAAGTAATGCCAGCCTGCTGTCCACAACTTTTGCCAAGAAAACCTTCGACAAACACGAACCAAATCAAAAAACATGATAGTGACAAGTTGTATACACCTTTCACTCTGGCGGCCTGAAACGTTAGAACGTTGTACCGGACTGGAAAATTCCAAAAACGTAAAACAAGAATAAAATAAAAAATGTTTTAAATGTGAATTTTATTCAATATCATCTTTATAGCACGTCTGGATGATGGTGAAGAAGATGACGATGTGACTACAATTATGATGAGGTGATGACGAAAATTGTGATGATGATATTGATAAAGATGGTGATGATGATATTGATGAAGATGGTAATGATGATGATATTGATGATGATGATCAAAAAGAAGAAGAAGATTATGATAACGATGGTGAGGAAGATAAAAGATTGCTGAACAACATTTTTCGGCTAAAATAATTCACTTTAGCATAGGAGTACTTGATTTCAACAGTTAAACTTCGCATTACATACCTAATTACTCAAAAATTGTTAAGCACAACATTGCTATTTTAAATAAATTCAACGAATTCGCTAAAACTTACCAAATCAAAAAAAGCTAAATGAAGAAAATGGTTTGATGAGGTTTGAAATTTTTTTACATGGAAGCGTTAAAGGTTCTCTCGTTTGATCTTAGGAAAAAAAATTTTTCATCAAGGCGCGGAATATTTTATAATTTTTTTCAATTTTCTCATTTTATCTTTTAATTCTTTTCAAATCCTTTTTTAATTCATTTTTATTCTTTTTTTCATTTTTTTCTCCTGAAATTTGTGCCCAGAATTTAGAATCCATGTTACAAAGTCATTCAGTCACGTCCAGGCAAATCCTGTGATCAATCAAAAACCCGACATTCCTTTTATGTACTAAAAGGAAAATTCTACAAGAAATTTAATTTAAATGGAATTTATTCGCCTGAAACACAGTCACACACAGACGGACAAAAAGAAATAGAGAGAGAGATTAGATACGCAGATAGGAAAAGAAAGAAAGAGAGAGTGAGAAAAAGAGAACAATAGATACACAGATAGGAAAAGAAAAAGAGAGAGAAAGAGAGAGAGAGAGTGACCTTTTTATGTATCTTCCTTTTCCATGTTCTTAACACTATATCACAAGATTGATATAACCGTGTAGATGTTTTTAACTGGTTAGTAACAAACAATCAACCCAATACAAATACTCATTCAACGAGTTCGTTCGTATGCTTCCTACATGTACACGAATACTAACAATACACTCACAAACGTCAGAATTACAATTGAGTTGATTCACCACGTGACATACCTGACGACCATTATTGTTATTTCATTTTAGCATTTGATTCATAACGAGACAAGCCCTGTCACATCAAAAGTATTTCTTTTTGGCATTAATCAGCATTTAAGTATTAGTAGTAGTAGTGGTGGGGGTGGAAGTAGTAGTTGTAATTAGTGGTAGTAGTAGTAACCGTAGTAACAACACCAGCAGCTTTAGTGGTAATTGTTGTAGTAGTTGTTGTAGTAGGGGTAACAATAGCAGCAGTAGTAGTAGTAACCGTAGTAACAGCAGCGACTGTTGTAGTAATATTAGTAGCTGTTGTAGGAGTGGTGACGACGATTGCGTTGATGATTTTAATAGTTGAATACCCATTTCATTGCTAGTTCGCATAAAAAATTCAGTCCTGTGTAAAGTAACAAATGGATATTCAAGCCAAGACGCTCAGCACATCACTGCAATGAAAGAGGTAGAAGTGACGTAATTAATGTTTGTAGCCAGTGGGATTGGGTAAAAGTGTACGACCAAAAGCATCGTGACGTTTGATTACGCTCGTGATACATAAAACACACACACACACACATAACACAAAAACTCACACACACACATACCACAAAACTACTCACACACACACACACACACACACACACACATATATATATATATATATATATATACACACATACAAATGAAAACACGCAAAAAACAAATTTGTGTAGCTGTAGAAAGTTAACAAATAGAAAGTTGACAAATACCCACACAAACATATAGATCATACACACCACACACACACACACACACACACACACACACACACACACACACACACTAAAAACAAACAAATTACAATATGATCATAAATTTAATAGGCAATGAAAGTCATGAATGCGTGTACAATAGGGATATGACAATTTTTAAAGACCCTATCCCCATGTTATTTTTTGTGGAGTTTTAATGCAAAGATCAAGAAAAATCCAAAGGCAAGTGTCAACTTTAAAAAAATGTCACCCCCTTAATTAAATTTATATATATATATACATTGTACAAAATGGTTTTTTTAATCAGAAATACAAACATACAGGTTTTAGTGTTCATTTGTCAAAAGAAATTTAATGTTAATTTTTTCAATGCTTTTGCACAATAGAAGTAAATCCTGCAGAACTTTAATTGCACGTTCAGCACAAATGTTTGACCTTTGAGTTGAGATTGGAGTTGGCTCAACCGACCAAAAAGTCCTTAAAGTCTTTATTGCCTTTGATCTTTGCAAACGGCTGCCAAATTATTGTAGTCATCCTGATTATAAACCTGACCAGAAAACCAGATGTCACTCTACGTGCCAGTAATAAAGTCACATGATGACTGACCTTCGGCTGACTGTCAAAATTCTGGAAGTAAAATATAAGCTAGCAAAACATAGATTGCTCGGCTATTCTATCTTGCATTGCTTATATTTGGCAAAGTTCTGAAATTTACTTTAGGAAGCATCCTGTTTCCTTAAACTGTCTGTAACAAGTGATCAAGTGATGAAGGAAAGCCATATCATCTCTCCAAACAATTTCTTCTTCCTTCGGAGCATCTGAATCTTGAGAACCACTGTCAAAATCTTGTTTTTCTTCTTCAGTGTTAAAATGTTCTTCATCTTTACTGCTTAAATCATCCTTAGTATCTTGACTGACTCTTTGCTGTTCTTCATCTTCACTGTTTAAATCATCCTTAGTATCTTGACTGACTTTTTGCTTAATCAACTTTAGTTTTCTAGGATGAACTCCTTGTGTATCTTCAATTGTGGTGCAGTAGCCAGCTCTACCATTTGTTGACATCTGAAGCTTATAGAGGGCTTTATCTTTCTACACAACTATTTTCCATTTTCATCAGTTACGTTGAACAAGTTGGTAAAGTCTTGCGTTCCTGGTTTTCTGCTGTTTTTTTCATACTTGTTTAGTACATTCTCAATTTTTCTTTCCACTGTAGATTTGCTTTTTTGAATTGGAAGATTCAGTTTTTTCCATAAGATTTTTACTTCTTTGATCACTATCACAACTCTCTCCTGTCTACTTTTCACATTTGCAGCTAAGCACTTAAATCTGTCCAGGATATGCTGTTCTGTTGGCATTTTGCTCATTTGGTCAAGACTGTCAACAATCTTTGCATAATTTTTTGAATTCTTGGCTTTTTCAAATCTCACCAAATTTGATTCCTATAGTTTCTTATTCAAATCTAAAAGAAGACTATTTTTAGACATCTTGACTATAGTCCTGTCGAATTATAATTTGAGTGTAAATTTAATTATCTACAAATAAACAAATCTTATGAGTTTAGGTTATCAAAATAAGTTTATAAAATATCAAAAGTCAGGTGATGATAACAAATATAATATATAATATGAAAGATTATGTAGTAAGCATGCATACATATAGCAAAATCACCCCAGCAATAAACTGAAGCTGTGATCCCTTAAACTGTACTGTATCTACCAATAGATAGATGGGAGAAAACGGTTTTCAGCTTAGGGGGGGGGGGGGGTGAACTTTTCTAAGATTCAACACTTTCAAATGATATTTCCAGTTCTAAAAATGTAATTTCTCCACTCATAGTGGCATGGAAAACCAAAAATTGCCAAAAAATTTTTGGTCATATATCTAGTGTACAATCGCGTTAGAATGAAATTTTCTAACGGCCAGCAACTGAGGTACCTAGAGGTTCTTAAAAACAACCATCTGAAAACGAACTTGTGCTAATTGAATTATAAAATTTAATTAAAAAATAAACTAATGATCACAAAATAATAAAAATATAATAAAAACAATTCTATTTCAATGAGACTTATTATGAATTCAACTTTTTTATTTCCTCATCAATATTTTTAATGATAAGTTTCTTAATGCTAAGATGATTTTGTGGTGTGTGTACGTGTGTATGTGTGTGTGTGTGTGATGTGCCTTTATGTGTGTGTGCATGATGATAAGGATGTTGAAATGTGGCGTTGAAATCCCCACCAGTGACACGCCAAGCTGTTTTGCGACTTCACTCTCCACAAAGCCGTCATTTTCTATTTCACGCATCGTTTTTCTCAGATTTTTTTTACTTGAAATTATAAATAAAGTTGAAAAAATGGCTTGAAAATTTTTTAATTTTTTTAGACGGTGAAAAAATACTTTAAAAATAGTTGATGTATGAGCAAGAGCTGATTTTCGAATGGCAGTTTCCATTGTGAATTATTGAAACACGGTCAAGGTCATGGATTGGTGGTGATTTTAAATTGTGAAAATGTTTGCCTTTTATATGGCTATTATCAGAAGTTTTGTTAGACTTTTACAAATATTTTATTTTTCATTGCATACCAGGTTGAATAGGATTTTATCATAGCTATTAATTTCTTCTGACATCTTGAATCGAAATATATGTTTGGGGCGTTAACGTTCCATAGTGTATATTATATTTGTTAGATCAGTTTTTGTATGTATCTAACTGTATATATCACAATCTGTATATATCACGTTTTGTATATCACAAAACACAAGACAGAAAATGATAAATTATCAGTCAAACAAGACGATCACCAAGTGAAAACGAAAAAAAAACCTTCAGTTCCCAGTTCAATTAGTAACAGTGAACGGCCAACGAGGTCGAAGTTGGCGAAGAAGAGGAGATGACGTCATACATCTAAAAATGACGTCATTCATAATTCTACGTCAAAACAAGCCGGAACGTTGGTATGGTAAACTTCCGGTAAACACATCTATAAATATTATATATTTCGTCATAAAGTAGTCAAGATGGATTGACGCACGGGCACACGCATCACACACACGCATACACACACACACACACGCATACACACACACGCATACACACACACAGACACTGAGTTGCACTTCACCTATAATGTTATCTTACAATTTTAAGAGTTAAAGAATTGTATAATGATGAGAAAGGATGTAAAATTAAATAAATGGCGACATAAGTATCGTTTACATTACGACATTACGATACTTAAATACCGATACAAAACTTAAATACCGATACAAAATTTAATTACCGATACGAAACTTAAATACCGATACGATACTTAAATACTGATACGAAATTTAAATACCGATACGAAACTTAAATACCGATACGATACTTAAATGCCGATACGAAACTTAAATACCGAGACGATACTTAAATACCGACACGATACTTAAATTTGATTTTTTTATTTCCTTTTATTTGAATTTTTACATTTCAAAAATTCTGGAAAATGTCATACCAGCCAGACAATTCGGATTCACTAAAGTTCAAAAAAAGGACGGAGACAGATAGGCACCATTAAAACGTATGAGAAAGAAGGAGAGAAAGACAAGAGGAAAAAAGAGCGAAAAAGAAAGAAAGAAAGAAAAAAGAGAGAAAGAGGGAAGAAAAAAAGAGAGAGTAATATAAATATAAAAGGCTTCTCGGATTGACATGCAATTTGCTGTCGATTGGTTGGTTATGAGAATGATGAAGACTACAATATCTTATATTTGTTGTTGTTGCTGTTGTTGTTGTTGTTGCTATTGTTGTTGCTGTTATATATAATGATGATGATTTTGTTGTTATGTGAATGATGAAATCTACAACATGTTGTATTTGTTGTTGCTGCTGTAACATTTTATGTTGTTGCTGTTGCTTCTGTTGTAGTTGCTGCTGTTGTGATTGCTGTTGTTGCTTCTGTTGTTGCTGCTGTTGTGGTTGCTGTTGTTGCTGCCGTTGTAGTCGCTAGCTGTTTTTACAGTTTCTGTTATTTACGTTGATAATAATGTCGTTATTGTTGTCGTCTGTATTTATATTTAAGAAGATAGAATTTAACTAATCGAAAGAGCATGGCAAAGTATAAATGAAATGGATAATTATTTGTCTGGTAGTAAAAGATTCAAAATTAAAACGAAATAATAAGAATAAAAATAATACAATAAAAGTTACGAAATAATAATAATAATAACAATAATAATAATTAATAATAATAATAATGTATTAGAAGTTGCTGCTAGAAGATTTCAACGTAAAATTGTATGTAAGTTGACATTGTGTGATAAAATTATTCTCATTATATTATTAATATTATATTATATATTAAATTTATATTATATTATATATTACACAATTGTTTTGAAATCTTTACAATTATAAATAATATAATTGAATAATACATGATTTTAAATATTATTGTTACGTTTCTGGAAAAATTAATTTTTTAATTAAATATAATTAAATAATTAATTAATTAAGTTTATTTATTTCTATTATATATATATAATTCTATTTATATATATATATATATATATATATATATACAAATTAAGATAAGAAAGAAAGAGAGGGAAAAAGACAGATGGATAGGTTGTGAAAAGAAATAGAGAAAATGAAAGAGAGGGAGAGAGAAAGACAAAGAGATAGAAAGAGAGAGAGAGAGAAAGACAAAGAGATAGAAAGAGGGAGAGAGAGAAAGACAAAGAGATAGAAAGAGAGAGAGAGACAGACAGACAGACAGAGACAGAGAGAGAGGAGAGAGAGAGAAACAAGCAAGCAAGCACCAAAAGCCAGACCACGAAATTATTAAGAACTAAACAAATGAACTGGCTTACTTGATGAAATGAGAATTTATTTTATTTGAAAGAAAAAGAAATAAAAGAGATAAATAACAAAAAAGAAAAAAGAAATAAAAAGAAACATCGAAGAATATATTTTAATTAAAAAAAATCTTTTCAAAAATAATTTTTTCAAGTTTTCTTGAACTATTGAAACAGAAAGTATTTTAAGTAATTTATTTTAATTATTTATTTATTTACTGTTTATTTACTTTCGAAACATAGGAATGGCAAGGGAAAGTTTTAAGAAAAAAGATTTGGCTGAGAAATAATCTTTTAAAAAAGTTTTTGGCGGGATGGCGGGAAAGTTTTTTTTTAAATTTTGGCGGGAAGTATTGAAAAAATTTCCGCTCATTTATATTCCCTTCTGATTAATAGAGGCAGAAAAATGTGTGAATATAGTATATGTCTGTGGTTGTGAGTGTTTGTGTGTGCGAGTGAATATAGTGTATGTTTGTGTTTGAGTGTGTGTCTGTGTTTGTGTGAATTTCAAGTGTGCTTGTGTTTGTATGTGCTTGTATGTGTTTGTGTGCGTGTATTTAAATTAGAAGTTTTTTACTAAAATTTAGACGTATGTCTGTATAGTGTATGTTTTTGTTTGATTTTGTCTGTGTTTGTCTGTGTCTCTGTTTGTTTGTGTGTGTCTCTGTTTGTTAGTGTCTGTGTGTGTCCGTGTGTGTTTGTGTTTGTGTGCGTATATTCAAATTAAAAGTTTTTTTACTAAAAATTTAGACTTAAATGATTAAAAATTTACTTGTTAACGCGAAGTGAAACCCTAAAAGTGTCTTAACCATCTTACGTGGAACTTTTCAGTTGTTTACTTTCGTTAATGATTCTGAATGATTTTGATGTATTTTGATGTCTTTTTAGTGTATTGCGTGTTGTTGTTAATGCCATTGATGGACGATTTGATGGGAATGAGCTTTATTTAAGGCTGGGATCTATATTCGTTATTAAGTTTCGTATGTTAATGTTTAAGTTAATGTTTATACTGTTTATAATAATATTTTATCATATTTATTACATATAATATTATTCGTAATAAATTGCTTTTCAGTCAGACGTTAATGTAACATAGCATATACCAAACTAGGTTGCATTAGTATGTGCAATTTCTTATTTCTTATACTTTAACATTTAAAAATTTTGGATCACTTTGCAATCGAATCCGGCCTCTGCAACACTGGAAATTTAGAGTTTAGAGTGCTAGGCCATGTTTATAATCTACCGATAAAAAGAAACACAATTTAAATTCATCAATTTTGTTGTTGTTGTTGTTGTTTTTGTTGCTGTTGCTGCTTTTGTTGTTGTTGACATTGTAGAATACGCTGTCAGTTTGTTTATATTATTAATGTAAATATTATTATTGTGATTATTGTTGTTGTTGTTATTATGATTATTGTTATTATGATGATTATTATTATTATTATGATTTTGTTCTCTCCATTATGAAAGTTTAGAATAGATTACGTAACTTTAATTTCTCCCTTTAAATAAAGGCAATTATTTTTTACACTACCACGCAATTATTTAGATTAAATTTTTTTTAGCCATCATCATCGTCTTCTTTATCGTCATCAACATCAATTTTATCTTTGGCACCATCGTCATCATCATCATCGTCGTCATCATCATCGTCGTCATCATCATCATTATCATCATCACT